CTCGTTGGGGGCGGATGGACTGAGCGTATCAAAGTTGACCCGCAACTCATGTCAGTTGCCCGCCACCTCTACGAGCGCAAAATCCTTGCCTCCCCTCGCACTTGCCCGCTCTGCAGGGCTTTGCCGGCACACCTCGGCATGTTATCATGAGCTGCTCTGTCATGAAGCCGTTGGTCGACCCACTCCGCGATGTGCTGGAACAGCGGCTGGATCAGCTGAATGCCCATGGTCTTATGCTCCGCCTTACACACGTGTGGCACAGGGATGTGCAGGCGCGTGGTCTGGGAACGATCATTGAAAGCGTTGCCCCGGAGGTGCAGGCCCGCTGGCCCTTGCTCTCAGCCTGGCGCTGGCTTGTTCCCACGCTGGACCGGGAAGTCATTCTTTCTGCCGACACTGGGGGCCATAGTGCGGCAGCGGTATGTGCTGAGGGGGAATGTGACCTCGCCCACCGCGGTGTTTTACCTGCTGCACTTGGTCGTGCCATCCTCCAGGCAGCTCGGGGCACGCCTGTGCCGGATGATGCCTTGCCTGACGCAGCTGAAGGCTTGCGCACCTTCTGAGTTCTGCCCAGCCGGCCGGCTATTGATTTCACTGCTGTCTTGCTGTGTGGTCTTCGGGCCGCTCGCTGGCAATACTCTGCTCGGACTGGGCTCGTGGCGTCCTGCGTGCGCTCCATGCAAGCGTGCTCGGCGCCGCAGCCCGAGCCAGCAATGGCAGGTATCCCTCCAGGTGTCCCCTCTCCGCTGGCGCGCTACCAGGCGTGGAGCACATCCCCTGGCGGGGTTGTCGCCCTTCGTGCCTTGAGGTAACGTCTGCAATCATGTGTTCACGCCTGTCCTCTCAACTGGGATGTCGCCTTTCAGAGCGTACCCTTCAGCAAATCGTGCGGTTGGCCCAAGCCAGCGGGGTCCCGGTCCTCACCGGCATGTCGCTTGAATGGGGATACGCGTCACCTGGCCTTTTGCTCTTGAGATCCTTCATACGCAGTGCGCCTGTCCTGCGCTTCCTGGCCCTCTCCCTGCCCTTGATCTGTGTTCCACGTGCGGGCGGGCGCGGCTGCACCCTCTGCCCCTGTCTTAGCTGCGCCGGCCTTGGGTCCCCCTCATGGTACGGCTTGTGCCTTGGCTGCGTTTATTTTTCCGGCCGGCTTGAACCCCAAGCTTCGGCCGGGGGGAAGCGCGGGCCTGGCCTCACTAACATGTGCTGGCCACACACCAACCAGCCAACCAACCAACCTTGCAAAACTATCGCGCCTGCCACGAAATCTGTACCCAGCCTTGCGAAAGTACTGCGCCTGCCACCAAATCTGTACCTGACCTTGCGAAAGTGCTGCGCCTGTCCTTGGCCTTGCGAAAGTATCGCGCCTGCCAGCTTGACCTTGTGAAAGTATCGCGCCTGCCACGAAATCTTTGCCCAGCCTTGCGGAAGTCCTTTTGCGATTTTGGAGCTGCAGCTGGAAGAGTGGAGTCGTACCTTCGATCACGAAAAAACTGCGCCTGCCACGAAATCTGTACTTGACCTTGCGAAAGTATCGCGCCTGCCACGAAATCTGTACCCAGCCTCGCGAAAGTGCTGCGCCTGCCACGAAATCTTGCGAAAGTGCTGCGCCTGCCCCGAAATCTGTGCTTGACCTTGCGAAAGTATCGCCTGCCACAAAATCTGCGCGGAATCGTACATTTGATCACGAAATACTGCGCCTGCCACGAAATCTGTACTTGACCTTGCGAAAGTATCGCGCCTGCCACACAAAAAAGCACCTGACGTTGCGAAAGTGCTGCGCCTGCCACGAAATCTGTACTCGACCATGTGAAAGTGTTGCGCCTGCCACGAAATCTGCACCTGACCTTGCGAAAGTGCTGCGCCTGCCACGAAATCTGCATGCGCCACCTTGCGCGCCCGTGCCAGTGGGATTTGCGATGCGTCCGTGCCAGCGCTGCAGAAATGGCGCGCCTGCCACGAAATCTATACTTGGCCTTGCGAAAGTGTTGCGCCTGCCACGAAATCTATACTTCGGCTCGCCAAAGTGCTGCGCCTGCCACAAAATTCTAGCCTTGCGAAACCTCCGCGTTGCCGTGCCAGTGGGCCCCCGTCTTAGACCGAGACCGTCCCGAGCAGGCGCCGCGGCAGAGGTACCTTTCGCACATGTGCAGCAGCGATTTCCTGCACCCTGCCACGCTTTTGCGTTTCGCGCGCTCCGACAAGGTTCTTTCTAATCATCAGCTATCCTTCACTTAGTTTCCGTACCACGGAAGTTTCTTGTAAACTTCCGGGAGGAAATTTGGATTGGTCCCGAGAGGCGGAGAGCGCCACGAGACTGGCAGGCCGCACGTATACTTCGCTGACAATCTCAGTACGCGGACAGACCGCTGGAAATTTAGGTCAACTGCCGTATGGCGATAAAAGCAGGCCTGGTATTTGTCAGGACGGAGCGACGGCATCCTGACCAGGGACAAGGTCCCGAACTACACCATCCTCTCGGTCCTGGATGCCACCGACGGCAACATCTGTTACACGCGCTCCGAGCAATCGGATGCAGCAGAAAGCGCTCCGGTTGGCGAAGAGGAACAGCAGGGTATGAAAAGGGAGCAGGCGGTTATGGACGATCGAAGCACAGCCCTGGAGAAGATTGCAACTACAAGGACCAATGCAGCTTCGCCTCGCGCCTGGCAAGGGGATGCTAAGCGTCAGAAGACCTTCAAATTGATGGAGAATGTCGAGCTCAAGTTTGCAAAATGTCCTGTGTGCAACAACGAGGTATGTGAGGGCCAGATCAACTGCAACACTTGCGGTCAACTCTCACCTCTGAATCCCCGTCTTCTCAAAGATCAGCAGCGCAACTACATCAAGCGGCGCTCGGAGCTTTTGAAGAAAATGGGCCTGAGCACAAATTTGACTGCTCAGGTATTGGCGTCAGTCGCCACATCCGACCTACGCGAGGAGGATCGCATCAGAATTCTGAGAGGCTTGAACTCCCCCGACAGCTCGGTCATCCAAGGCTCGGAGAAAGCTGAAGTCCGCTTTGTGAAGAACGGCTACCGCTCGCTGATGGACCGGTACGAGCTTGACATGCAGTACCGTGTCCGCATGATGGGTGTGGGTCGCCGTGAAGCAGATGCTCAGGATGGAGCTCTCTGCTAACCTTGTCCTTGCGGCTCCGAAACAGTCACAGGCTCAGAAAACGCTTGGAGTTGGCTTGGGATCCACATCCGACACGCGAATCGCAAGGCTTGCGTACATCAAGACTGAGCTTGAGCGGCGTCATGAACCTTACTGGCTCCACTGATTCGGAACTTCGCTACGAGCTGGAGTGGATCTTCCGTCAGAACGAGAAGGCAGCATGGAATTCAGTCGATTTCTCAAAGAATGAGAGCGACAAACACCTCGCAAGGAACGCTGCACGCCACGCAACGGGCTATTCAACTCCCGCCGCCCGGTGGCAGAGCTCGTATTGGCACGGTTGGTCCAACGATGAGTGGAGTACATGGGGCGGTAGCAGCGGCAGTGGCCGACAGTCTACCTGGCGGTGGCGTTAAACGCATCCGTCACGGATTTGCATGTGCCCAAACCATGTTTCCCCCGACCGTCTTCCCTCTTTTGTGTTTCTGTTTGGCTGCTTTGTGAAAGGCCCCTTTAACACGCAGAGGGGGGTGAAGAATTCATTCGGTCAGTTTGGGGGTTAACATCAATTGCATCCGCAGTGTGGCTGTTCAAGCGTGAAAATGTGCGAGCAGCGCACTTGGACGGTTTGTTGTTTCCTTTTGGGCCCCAAACCGGTAACCCTCGAATCTATACCCTCGTCATTTACTCAAACGGTGCTGGTAGAAAAGATTCCACTCACCGGCATGCTTCTAAGGCGTCAAACCTAATTGGCACTAGTTTCAGTTTGGTTCTCTTTATTTTCCAAGTTGTTTTTTGGTTCCCCGAAAGGACATCTGAGGATTCAAGGACTGAGTTTGGGGTTGAGAAAGAACTAAGTGTCGCCTCTGGGGGCAGTTGGGTGCATTGTCTACCTGAATTGGACAAACCCACCGTAGGATAAAACGGTGTGTGGATGTTTGATTTAAGCTTCATAATTTCTCTACTCCCTCCCGCCCCTCACGAGAAGCAACACACACGCATACATACAGACTTGTGCGTGGGGAAATTCCAACAAAGAATCTGCACTGCACTCAACTTCGGAGTATGCAGTGGCAACAGACCTGCTTTGCTTGTGTTGGAAACACTTAATTTTGGAAAGGCAAGCATGTTGGACATGCAACAAATACAGCGCGTCAGGGGGCTATGCGCTTCAACTACTTCTCAAACAAGCAAGATGATCAAACCGCTTGGGAATCAACAACGGCGGTCACCCAGAAGCCCTGATATCAGGCTTTGATATGTTGAGGATAGTCTTACTGGCTGGCTGGAAACTTGGCGAAAACGCCGGAAGCTTCTTTACCTTTTGCACAAGTGGCGGTAGCAGAACAGTTCGGAAAAGAGTTCCCCTCGATGACAGTCACATCTTGGGAGCCGCAGTGGATGCAAGTGAAGGGCATGGGCTGTAGGCGGCTTGCAAGGTGCAAGAGGAGGAGGGAGAACACACAGTCGTGGATGTAAATGCACACATGTTTTCATGCCTATGCCATGAACGTGCCTTAGTGGCTAGCCACCGCTGATTTCATGAGGGTCTGTGTTCTGCACGCGTTCGCGTGTTCAGATGTTTGTGCCGTGTATTCCTTGCAGGAAGCAGGGCTTCGGCCTAAAACATGATTTGCAGCGCTTGAGGGCTTGACAGAACTTGGCCTTGAGGAAAGGACCTTTACTTTAAGGTTCAAACATTTTTTCCCCGTGACTACCTCCTGCTATCTTCCGGCCATTTTAACTTCACCAGTCGTTCTCTCCACCTCTTGGTTCAGGGACACGGGCATGATTGGCAAATCATTTTTTCGGCGGGTTCTCTTTGGCAAATTCTTTTCCAGGGCCCCAAGCCTTCGATTCAGCCCCCTTTTTCTCGCCAGGAGGAGTGGTCTGCGCTCCCGGCGGTGGTGGGGAGCGAGGCGGAACCTGAGGGTAAGGCAGAAGCTGGGATAAATTTGTTTGCCACCAGATGGCTTTGAAAGGGGACAAATTTCCGGGGCCAGCATAAGAGCGTGGATAAATTGTCTTTTCAAACTAGGCCTCCAAAGATCCAAGCACAATTCCTGAAGCCTTTGGTAGACACGCCATTCAACCAATGTCGCCCGATGGAACGCGCATCCCAGCAGGCGCAGTCCCCCAATTTTGGCTGCTGAACTCCCGGCGACCCGTAATTCCACAGGCCTGGCAAGCGGTGGCGACGACCGCAGCACCGTCCCTGGCGGAGCGGATGTTGATTGGTCCGACTGGAGCAGGAATTGACATTCCTTTGTTAGACCCGGCTGAGTGCAGGAAGTTGTTCTTTAGGTGAGCTGCTTTCGTAGGGCATTTAATTGGTCGTTAATCATTCAAATTGACCCGTGCCTGCTTCTGCAAGGCTATACAAAGGGATTGTATCAGCAGCACCGGGCTGGACGCATACTTTGTTTTTCCAAGTGACGTCGGACGACCTGGTATGTTGATGTGCGTGCCCTTCCGACCAGCATGAGTTTCACGGGGTGTCAAAGCTAGACATTGGGCTGTGCTGCCATTTGGTGCCTTCAAGAGCGATAGCAAGCTCACTTTGCCAAGTTTTCGCCTAGTTTTCTGAGTCTTGTGATATGCACCCGCAGACTCCAGCCGGGGCTTTCATGTTGGCTTCCCCAGAATGCCTGCCCCCACAATGAAAGGCGGATGTGTTGACAATGACGAGGGTACCCTGTTTGCTGGACAAAGGTGTCATGCCGTGCGAAATGATGGTGAAATGAAGGTGACGCAGCCATTTTGGTCCTCCACAGCCGCCCCAACTCGACGGGGAGGTTTTGTCTCCAAGTGGTGGCAATGGGATAGATCGAAAGTCCAAAACAGACTCACCATTCCATTTCAGGACAAGGAAACAAATACGGCGAACTGCAAAAGTAAATCGAAGAAAGAAACCTTTGGGGCTCCCTTACTGTACTCTTCTTCAAATTGAGATAGAACCCACACACCACTCTTTGGAGAGGAATCTCCTGGGAACGCGCTCCTCCCTGTGGCCCCCTTCCTTTCTGTTTGGGTTCCCCCAAAAGTCCTTCCGGTGCCACGGAACAGCGTCGTCGACCCCTTGAGTCGAGACGTTTCGATTCCTTGTCAGCAGCGGGTTCCCAGGTCCTCGTCGAGCCCCCTTGTCACCAACCGAACAACTGAACTATGTTCAATGACTTAGGTAGTTCCCTTAGTTGGAGACGTCATCTCCTGGATTATGGGTGTCAAGTCCAAGTGGGGGTAACAAATGGCGCAACAGGATACCTGTTTTGGGTTTTTGTAGAATAGGCAACACCACGCCCCTGCTGCCCGACTTCCTCGGGAGGAGTTCCTGAACGAAGCACCGGAGGAGACGGTGCCGGAGACAGAGGGGCTAGAGGCCGCCGATTGTCAAGAGTTGGCCGGAAACACTTGGGTGTGTCCGAAAAATCGGTGGTGCCCTTTTGACCGGCCTTTTGAAGGGTAAACAACTTGGGTGCGAAAGCGCCGCCACCTGCGGCTTCCTTGCGTTCTTAGTTCTTTGCTGCTAGTTTGACAAGTGCCCGCCCTGCTGACCTGCGATTCGCTCAATGAGGAAACCACATCCATAAAGAGTACGGATGGGGAGAAAACCGCATCCTCATTGATGTTCAGAATGAATCAGTCAAACAAACATCTTGACTCAACGCACCTTTTTTTTGAGCAAGCGCGCGTTTGGCTTCCAGGTAGGGATGTCCGAAACCCTGGTAAAGCACGCATGTCGGACAAGAACTGCCAGGCCTGAATACCATTTTTGCCTGCACCCCCCAGAAGAAACCTCTGAACACTATGAGACTATGAGAAACCATAGAATTCAAATCAAGCCAAGACCAATGCCAGGAGTTTGATCCTCCTGTTTCCTCCAACATCAGGAGCCCTTTTTTGGAGACTCCCACACAAGCAGATGGTCTTATGCAACATGCTCATGTTGCAGACCACCCTTTTGCGCCTCCTGGCAAGACCGCGCTTAATGGCACCAGGGTTTTTCAAGGAGCTGGTCTTGACTCTGTTCTGAAACCTTTTTGGGACCCTTTGCGGATCCGCGCGCAGGTTGCTGTCACGGATTCAATCAGAGACTCAGAAGAAATGTGAGACACTCATAGCAAGCCAAGACCCCCTAGATAGCAATGACGACCATCTTTACCCATCTTGGGATCAGAATTCACTCAGCTGCAGGGGAGTGCCGCGGACAACCAGGATGCGCCGGAGGAGGAGTGGCAGGCGACGGAGACGCATCATGCAAGAGCCTGAGAGATTCAGGCAATACGTGGATGGGTCCTGTATGGGCAGCTGCAGATGTTCTGAGCCTTGCCCCCGCCATCCTGGGTTTGGTGGGCATTCTAGGTTTGAGCCGGGCGAGGCGCTGTTGTCTGCTGCGTTGCTTTTTTGTTTCCGGCGCAGAGTGTACAATGTTTTTTGTTTTGTTTTCATGGCAGAAGATGCAGTGCCAACTGGGCAAATTACAGCGGAGTCACTAGAGGTCACCCAAAGTGAAAGTTCCTTTCTTGGGTGTCCTTTATTTTCGGTTGGTGAACGAAGATGATTGGCCCCGATGCTTCGGTCCAGTTTCGCAGGGTTGTCAGGTTGTCACTGTTGGGCAATTTTGGACCCCGCCCCTCCTCCCAACCAGGCCATAATGCAAGGAAGTGGATGGGGAAACTACGAATGAAAACCGGGGATGAATACAACCCTTGCTTGATACATGGGGGGATGCAGCTCATTTTGGAGGGATCTTTCTGTGTCGAGGAATCCCCCTTTGTCTTTGTTCTGCTTGCTTGATTTATCCGGGGTCAACAGAACTAGATCAGCATCATTTTCAATCATTGTCCGTGGCTCGTACATGCTGGGGTTTAACAATGTGATTGTTTCGGGCTATGAGCCCTGTACAGATTTTGGCCAACACTAGGCCACCAGAGTTAAGATTCCTGATTAGGAACCTTTGATCCTGACTGCTACATGGAATGCTGTCCGCATGTTGAGCCTGCAGATTGGAGTTGCAGCAGCTTGCCTGCATGCATCGTTTGAGTGAATGATAGCAATTTCTCTGACATCATCAGGGGAGAATGGTGCTTTCCAACCAACAAGCATGGCAGTCCACAAACCCTTGTGGAAGACTACTCTCTTGGACAGGGCTGAGGACTAGAATTACTTTGATCCAGCTAAGTGATATGTGTATATATATATATATATGTACCAGTCCCTGGGCCACGTACCCCCCCCAAAATTTTTTCCCCCCCCCCCCCCCAATGGTATGGTCCCCCCACCCCCCCCCCGCATCATCCGCATCTTGGGGATGATGCTGGCAATGCTGGGGATGCTGTCCAGTACCGTGTGAGCCCTGCAGCGGTCCCAGACTCCCCCTTTCACCCCGTGAACCAACACCCCCGCACCTCTCGCAACACCCTACCCTAAACCAAACCACCCTGCAACCCCTCCTTAACCCCAACCCTAAGCATAAATCAACCCAAACCCCAAACCCACCCGAAACCTACCGCAAACCCTGAACCAACCCTAAACCAACCCACCAAGCCTAAACCAACTCCGAACCACACCCCAACCACCCAACCAACCAACCACCCCACCACCCCACCACCCCACCACCCACCCCCACAGGGGGGGGAGGGGGGGGGGGGGTCCACGGCCTGGAACATATATATGCGACCGCCCCTTGAAATACTCAGGTTTTTGGACAGAACTGAGGTTTTTGGCCAGACTGGGGGTAACAAATGCCTTGAGACTCTGAAATGAACTGGACACTCAACTCCATGCAAATTCTAACCAAGCAGAAGTTAAGCTCAACGCTGATTAGGAGTTGCGAGTTGTGTGACCGTCACATTGGCGTGCGCGAAGTGCACTTAAAGTCACATTGGAGTATGCAAAGTGCAATTTGGCAGCTCCAGCTCAACAAAACACAATTGTTTAGTACAGGAGTAGTGCGCAAAGTATGTTTTGGCAGCTTCAACGCGCCTGTAGCAGCCCTATTATTTTGTGTTTATTATTTTTGTTTGGCAGCGAAATTCAGCAACACATCAAGTCGGGGAAAAGGAACTCATTCCTAATTCATGTCCTTGCGCAGTTGCATTTACATGTTAACTCGAGTGTTGTGCATAATTCCTGACATGCTAGTTCAGTCTAATTGAAACATATGTTGCAAAGCAACTATCCCACGTGTGTGTGTGTTGCTTGTCGAAGTTGGTTCCATCATCGCCACTAACAACTATTGAAATTCAAGTAAGGGAAGAATATCCAGTTAAAAAAGCTTTCGAGTTCAAACCAAACTAATGTTTAATGTTTACTTGTTTGCAGTTTCTTGTGCATTTCAACAATCAACTGGAGAAGATAGCTATTGTCATGGCCAAATGAATTTGGAATCAAACTCAATTTTGAAAGGGTTATTATTGTCCTTCGAACTCCATGTGGTTTGAACCGGCAAGAACTGAGCCAAGCCAATGACAGGAACGTGTTTTCAATCATAGATCCCATTATTTGCATAAATGCCCTGGATCGAACATCGAATATACAAGATTCCACAAACATATGTTTAGAATGTGCTCAATCCTGGTCCCCCAAAAGCTTGACAGTTTGTTCTAGACTCATCAAGGTTTCGCCCCCTGCATTGAAGATTGAAGATCTACCATATTTTTTATTTGAGAATCTTCCATCCTGGCCAGCCCTCAAGTCCACAAAAAAATGTAAAGGTGTCAGCAACATTTTTCCCCCTCGCCAATTGCAGGCAGTGCAAGTGCACATCCACATTTTGATTCTGACAACGTGCACTCCCGGTCTGCCTTTTGGATTCTTCACATCCGCACTTAAGGCAATCCAGGATCTGGATGGGAGATTCAAGATTCTCTGACAACTCTTTCTGAAATTCTCCAAATTTGTACTTAGAGCAATCCAGGATGTGCTAGTACGTGCTAGCACATCCTGGATTGAAGATTGAAGATTGAAGATTCTCAGACCACTTGTTCTGGAAATCTTGCATCCATCCTGAGGACAAACTGGTATGTGCTAGCACGTGCTAGCACATCCTGGATTGGGGATTGAAGATTGAAGAATCCCAGAGAGAGTTGTCAGAGAATCTTCAATCTTCAATCCTCAATCCAGGATGTGCTAGCACGTGCTGGCACATACCAGTTAGTCCTAAGGACGGATGGAATATTTCCAGAACAAGTGGTCTGAGAATCTTCAATCTTCAATCTTCAATCCAGGACGTGCTAGCATGTGCTAGCACATCCTGGATTGCACTAAGTACCGATGCTAGAATTTAAGTCTAACAAGGAGTGTGTTTTGCATGCATTTTTACAGCCAACATGTCAATTTCTGGCCAAACACCTGAGTATTCCGGGGGGGGTACCATATATATACACTATATATAAATCCTCCACACTCCCAACACCCATATCTCAAAAACCCTTGAACTTGGCCGCAGCCTTCAGGTCAGATTTGAGCCGGCGGAAGGCGAGAGCGAGGCAGGCTGCGCATGCCGCGGGCAGATCGTGGGAGCATTTGATCCGCCAAATCAAAAGCCATGCGCAAGAAAGAAGACTACAAGTTTTGAGTTTGGTTTTCATGCATTTTGTTTGAGATTCGCGATTGCCGAAACGCAGGGGGTTCTGTTTAACCGGAAGATGGAAGTGAGGGGCGGGGCCAAACATTCTGCAATGCTCAACGTATGTGAACCTGGTTCTTTGGCGGGGGTGTCAAATCTAGGGCCAGTCCAATCTTTCAAGAATCATCCCAACAGGCAAACAAAGGCATGATTTGGACGCTCCGCAATTACAGAGCCCAGGATGGTCTTCGCCCCAGTGGGCTCTGGCAATAGGTTGTTTCCATTTGACGGGTGGGCAAACATAGACAAGGTTGTTGGACTCGTCAAAAGGTGCCATGTGCCTTGTTTGTCAATCCACGGCCAGGGCTTGCACTTACACCAGCTTCCATTTAACTTGGGGGCGATTTACTATTTTCCTTTTTGGTTATACAGGAAACTGACATCATTGGCAAATATGTCCATTTTGTTCGGTCGATGATGAGTTGAAGCGCATGCTGTTAGGACTTTGGAGGTGAATCCGCTCGAACGGTCCAGGCGCCGGCGCCGCGCCTGGCGAGCGAGCCGAACCTCGCGAGCCAGCTAAACGCCTTGCTGGCCGCCCGGGGCGGACCGTTGGTGCGCCCACCAGGAACTCGGAGGGGCTGGATTCTGGAAGGGGAAGTTCGGTGTATTGCGGGGTGGGAGGAGGAGGGGGGCTGCCCAGTTTTTCCGCGCAAAAGAGTGTGAGGGCAACATTTTGTGGGCGATCTCGAGCAGCAAGCCATGTTTGTGCTCGCGGCTTAACAGTCTAGTGAGCAACTGGTAGGAGTTGAAAGGGCCCTTTGCAGAGAAGCAGGCTCAAGATTCTGGAGCGCCGTGGGCAAAAGGGAATGGATTGAAAGTAGCGGGACAGCAGCGGGCTGATATCAGGGTTTGCATTTAGGCAAGCCCAGACTATCTCTCCAGCCGAGTTTTTGTGGCTCTGGTATCCGGATATGTCCTCGCAAGCTCACCTCGGGCAAAAACGAGCTCTCCTCCAAGGGAATGATTGTACATCGTCCAGATAGCGTGCATGGGAGGCCGAGTTGGGCTCGCAGCTAAGTTGCAATCACGCATGTATGCGAGCACGAAAGCAGGGCCAGCGAAACAGGTTCCCAGCGGGCTCCGTCGCGCGGGCGGTGGAGTTTGGTCGGGCAAGCCTTCTTACGTGACAACTTTGAGCCTGCTTAGCTCCCTGTACGCACCCGAGCATGCATTTACGGGAATGCAATACCGCAGGGATGATCCAGGCTGTGAACCTGTTGCGGTGATAGTCAGACCTGTTGGTTCCACAATAGACGCACCATGGAACCTAACAGGTCTAGTTCACAGGGGTAAGGGTATCATGTTAATTAGATTGCATGTGTGCACACTCAAATAACTTTGCTGTTAACGCATATAGCCTTGCCTCAACTGTGAATCAAACCTCAAAGCACAACCATAGCTGACTCAACCGCATGATGTTCCCAGGGTGTTTGCGTGTCGCGAACTGATGAGTGGCCATGGATCACCCCACGCTGCGGATGCTGATTTTCGAGCACTGCTGCGCCCGGCTCTCAGCCCGATCGAATTGATCGAGCAAGCCAGAGTTGTTGACGGGATGCAATCCGCGGCCGAGTTTCGTTGCTCCATTGCGGAGAACATGGGAATGAGCCCCTTCCAAACACAAATAGATCCGGAAGGAGCTTCTTGGACATTTCCTCGAAAAAAGAGCAACCTGGTTGCTCGGGACGAATCTGGGCCGAAGCCAGCCGATGGTCACACCCACAAGCTCGCCAGTATTTGTCTTTCTTGATTCGGGACCCTTCAACTGGTTGTTTTTTCCTGTCGCTGTTGCTGTTCTTGCTCGAAGCTCTTGGTACATTTACAATTTTAGGGCAGTGTGGGCTTCTGAAGATTCATTGCACGTGCTGAAGGTTTATTGACTGGTTGAACCAGAATTGATTCTCGCAGCTCTTATTCTGAGAAGGTTGCTTGTAAGAGGCATGGTAGGCCTTTGTGTTCAACCGAAATCTCCTGTTGTTGCTCTCAATCGGTTTGAGCTGCAGATGAAAGGGCAACAAACACATGGGCATGGATCGCCCGTTTTTGGGAACAGTACATAGAAGGTTGCAAACACGACGCAGCCGCTTTGACACAAGGCGCAGTGAAAACATGCGCCCAGGGCAGTCTGCCATTCACAGGTTATGAGCCCAAGTCACGTTAGGTGACTGCGACCACGCAGCTATGGCCACTAGATCGGGGAGATCCAGGAGGATAAGAACGCTGGAAGCCAATGAGGCTGCGGGCAAGGGGTCGAGCAGCAGCGGACCTGGCCCGGTGGTGGAAGAGGTGTGGTCGCCAGGCCGGACGGAGTGGTGGAGGCAGGAGCTTCGACCCAATGGCCTGGAGGGCCGCAGGGGGAGCCGCTGGCACTTGAGCCAGTACCAGCAGCGCTGTTCACGAGCAGATGAAACGGCTCGATGAGTGGACGGAAGAGGCGCCGCTGATCCATCCGAATGGAGCTGGAGGGAGCAGAGAGGGGTTTGAGACCTACATCGAGAGGTCCAACGAGGACATGTTGGAGAAGAAGGAGTTGGTGCTGGCAGCACAACAACTTTCACTACCGGTGCCAGGGGGACATGCCGAAGGCGCTCGGCCTGCTCAATGGCAAGAACAAAGGCCCCCACAGCCGGCTCTACCTGGCCCTGGAGGACTTGATGGAGGCCCTCGATTTGCTCAATGGCCTGATCCAATGCAGGAGATGCGCTACTACATGGTGCAGTTGATGGCCGATAACCGGAGGCTGCAGAAGGAGGTGGTGCACTGCGTGAACAAGGTAGCAGATATGCAGCTGAAGTGGCAACCGCCTGAACAAGGAGCTGTACGAGGAGGAGATCAGAGCGACAGGTTCGCAACCCCTGAGGAGCATGGAGCCCCAGAAGGCCATGGAGTAACAGGAGAACCTGCTGATCAGGAAGAGGAGTCTTCTGAGATGAGGGAAGATGAGCCTGGTGGACAGCATGCTGAAGATCGTCCAAGGGATGCAGATCATGCAGCAGCAGATGCTCAACCAGCAGAAGAAGCCAGATGGGGTCGAGGATCACAGTGAGCTGGTGAAGAGTGGCGTTATGGAGCTGCCGAAGCTGGTGGAGTACCGGCCGATCTGGGAGATTGGATTTGCGTCCTAGAGCCCATCATGGCGGATCTCAGCGAGTCATCACATCAGTGGTGGCACAAGGTGGTGGAATCGGCAAGGGTATGGTACACGAAGTACCAGACCACGCCACCGCTGGAGAGGCTTTGCTTGCAGCCGAAGGATCCTCCGGAACTTCAAGAAGCACGGTGGAGAAGGTTGGAACGGAGGGCTGTGGGACTGATCCTACGAGCTCTCCCAGAAGGAGCCAAGGAAGAGATGGTGGCGACGAAGTCCATGACGTGCTACGCCATCCTCTGCAAGCTCATGGCTAGCTATCAGCCGGGAGGTCTGGTGGAGAAGGGGGTGATCTTGCAGAACTTGGAGAACCCCCCGGAAGTGGACTCTCTGAAGAAAGTGGATGAGGTGGAAGCAACGGGTGCAGGAGTTGGGGGTTACGATCCCGGACCCGACGGTGTTAGCGCGGTCCCTCAACAAGATGATCAAGAAGGTGCTGGAATTGCAGCCGGAACTCGCCTTTAGGATGGCCTTGGCGAGGAATGCGCTACAGCTGGATTCCATCCCATCGCACGAGGCAGTGGAGAAGTACGCGGAGCATGCGTTGTCGGAGGTGGAGGCCATCGCTCATTTGGAGAAGGAGGTCAAGACGCCGGCGACAAAGACTCAGATGGTGGACGCCAAGGTCAAGAAGGTGGACACTGTGGACGGCAAGAACGAAACGAAGAAGGCTGGAAAGGATATCCGGCCCTGCAAGTTCTTCCTTTCGGAAAAGGGCTGCAGACGAGGGCGTGGGTGCAAGTGGAGCCACGACCAAAAGGATGAAAAGATGAGGTGTTGGTCATGTGGGGCGAGTGAGCACCTGCGAAAGGACTGCCCTGTCGCTGTGAAGACGGGGACAAGAAGGAGGTCAGCGCGGAAGCCCAGAAGGAATCAACTCCGAGGACAACGACCTCATCAGCAACAGTGTATGAGGACTTTTCGGGAACGACAAGTTCGGCATCCAGTGAAAAAGACAATGAGGCGATGAAAGATGTGCTCCAGGAGGCAACGAAAATGCTCAGGAGCCTCAACGTCAAGGCGCCGGGAAAGAGCGCGCAAGAGGAGGAAGAAAAGAAGCTGCTGGACCTTCAGAAGCAGCTGGACGGCATGAGAGAAAGGATGAGGGTTCGCCAGATAAAGTTGTCCAAGGTGGAGACAGCCGGTGTTCGCGGGCTGGTGGAATGGGGAGCGACGAACCCGCTCAGGGCCGTGGAAGAGGACGAGGATGTCGCAAGCTATGAGGAACGGACGGTGCAGCTGGCAGCCGGGGAAACCTACAGTTTGAGGGTAACTCTGGGGAGGGGGCACACTTGTTGCGGAGGACAAGAGAACGCAGCCGATCATTCCCATGGGCATGCTCACGAAGGACCTGAACTGCAAGGTCAAATGGAGTGGGAAAGCGTGCACTATCCTACATCCTGGACGAGGACAACTACCGGTAGTGATGAGTCAAGGGTGCCCGGAGGTGCCAAGGGCATTGGCACTCAGCCTGATCCAGGAGCTGGAGGGTAAGATCCGATCGCTGTCGAGGCGGGAGGAGGTGGACTTCGTGAAGAAGGTCGTGGAAATGCATTCGGTGTTCGGCGAGGTGCCGGAGGCGATCAAGCAAGAGCTGATGGTGGAACCGGCGGAGGATTGGAAACCGCTGGGGCTTAATCGGAGCCGAAGAAGAAGGCTTGAGAAAAAGGGAGGAGCGGTGGTGCACTTGTTCGTGGGCCCGGAGGAGGGGTTCGACCTTTCGAGGGCAGGTGGAGATCCACGGGACATCTTGGAGTATGACATTCTCCGAGACGAGGCTCATGACCTCATGAACAACGAGCTCATGAGCGGGTTGGTCCGGTTGGCGCTGGACGACCGGATTAAGGCCGTGGTGGGCGGGCCGAATTGCAGGACGAGATCGGTGCTACGATTCTACCCGCTGCTGAACAGGGCTAAGCCACGCCCGGTGAGGACGATGGAGCATCGATGGGGCCTGCCGGAGATGGATGAGGGAGAGAGGGCGATTGTCAGAGAAGACGATGTGCTGATGTTCCGCTTCATCCTGATCTATCTTCTGGCAGACATCACGGCAATGGTGAGAGAGAATGAAGGGGGTGGTGTGGAGTTCTTCATCGACCAGCCGGCGGAACCTAAGGGAGAGCCGAGATGCGCTTCGTGGTGGAGAACACCGGAGTGGAAAACCCTCGAGAAGCTCCACAACTTGAGGGAGGTCACCTTCATGCAGGGAGACTGGGGTGGACGTGCGGTAAAGCCTACGACAGTGGGCACAACGATGGATTTCAAAGGGCCGGAGAAGGGCGTCTGTGGGCTACATCTGGGAGAAGCTCTACGTCATGATCGGGAGGTTGGAAAGCCAGGGTGGGAGATGACGGATGAGGAGAAGCTCAGCTCGTCGAAGACGTTGGCTAGGTGGGCCCCTGGA